AAGTTTTTTTTTTACACTGACAGGATGACACAAGAGACATCAAGTCTTACTTTATCGAAAACTTGAGGGAAATAATGGAGGGTGACAACTATGACCAAACAACAAGGTTTGAGCAAAATGTTGAAATGTGCACTGCTAATCCCCGGAAGGTTTAAAACCTGAACTGCTGGGTTTTTCAACTTCAAAGTCGTTATTATTTAATTTCCACCTTATAACTTGAATTGGCACGATATACTTTCTTAGTTTACTCTCAGTAATGCTGGTACAACCATTTTATTTGTGTTTGTATAATTCTATAGTTTATAGATATTTGGGGAGGACACATTTGCAAGGCTATAGGGAGAGAGTAGGGGAGTGAGATTAATTTGGATAGCTCGGCTCAGTTGGTAGCGCTCTTATTTTTGAGTAAAAAGCGTGTGGGTTCAAACCCCATGTTGCAACTTTGAACTCGTATTCCAGGCTGACGTTCCTTTGCAACACTGGGGGATTCCTGCATTGTCAAAGGTTTTGACCTTTGGATGAGATGTCAAATCAAGACCCAATCTGCTTGTTCAGGTGAACGTTAAAGATCCCATGGCGCGATCTGAAAAGAGAAGAGAATTTCTCCTGGTTGCCAACCGTCCACCCAGCGAAATTATTCATTCACTTCATGGCTGTTCATGGGACCTGACTAAGAGCAAATTGACTCTTTGCCTTCCAAAACAGTCACTATAGCAGTTATCTGTAAAGCAGATAGGGACATTACAATAGGGCAGATAGGTGCATTATAAATCAATTCACCTTTTAGTGAAGCACATTATAATGGGGTTGCACTGTATGTATATCGGGTCTCTGGAAAGTGGCACAATTTCTCCCGTATTATTTGTTCTCCCCTCTGGGTGCCCACTCTCTCTCTCTCAGAGTGAGGTATCCTATCTGTGTCCTGATCCCTTGAATTGGAGACCGATCCTGTCTTCACCCAATGTGCACACATGTTCCCCTTCCTGCAGGAGTCACTGGATAGCGATCAGCGGAAGGAATCCTTTTCAAATTTTTTTGTTCCTCCTTAGTCCAGGGCTTAGAAGCCATATTGGAGTTTCGAAGCTGCTGCTTCAACTGAGATTAGCTAACTCAGTACAGCCCGACCCTGGAACCTTAAGGTCTGTAGAACTCAGCATTTCCATAATTTGGAATAATATACAAATATTATTTTATTGATGCAGAATTGACCTGATTTTGTCGGCTTGTTGGCTCTGGCTCACATGCTGCTTCTTTCTCTTTCCATCTTGTGGGATAGAAGAAAAGGCTAGAGCTTAAATTAAAATCCTGCAGTTTCTTATCTGCTTCCCACATGAAGGCAAATCTGTGTTGAAAACCGTAAAATTAAGAGAAGATCGGGGATAGTATAATTCAGCAAATCCATCGGTTCGGCTTCTAGGCTGTCTGACTGGAGGGAGGAAAGGGGGTCAGACAGACATTAATAGGGTGCAAGCTATCAATTTGCTTTTCTCAATTGAAGCATTTGTACTTCCAGTGAGTAAGAGGGAGGTAGGGGAGGAACAGCATTGGTATTTAAAACTCTGATAGAAACACTCTGACGTTGATGTGGAATTTTTTGTGGATTTTAGGAAGCAATCCCTCTTTTCCCCTAGAATTATAGATAGCAATGACTGACTTCACCTCCCGTACTATAAACACCAACAGCCCTGGCTCTATCAAGCAAATTGATAGCTTGCACCCTATTATTGTCTCCCACCCCCCCATAGATACTAACAATGCGCACTCCCTCTCCGCGCCCCCATAGACTCCATTAGCATTTTCTAGAAAAAGCTGACATTGATTTACATCTTATTTAATCAGAAAACTTGATACGCCTGCCTATTTATAGCTCACAACTCCCATTGCTTCCGTGTGCCCGTGTTTTGCCTGTCAGAGGAGAACTGTGTGCATGTCGCCAGGACTGTGACTGAATGATCAGCTGACAGAAGCTGCTGAATGGGACTGAATCACTCTGTTTACATAGTTTATTTATTGACGGTGATATGACGCATAGATGTCAATGTCTGGTCAAACCGTTATGTTTCACGAAGAGCTCGCACTTTACATATTTTCACCTACAAAACATACAGTCACTTACTTCACTGTAAATCCTGTGAAGCGCTTTGAGACATTCTCTCGACGTGAAAGGTGCTATATCAAATGTAAGGATTATTATTATTATGATACATACAACATGCACAAACACGTATACATTTTACACATCCAATGAATCCCACAGCATTCCCAATACACGAAAGTAGCCCTTTGTTGGCAGAATTGTGCGTGGGTACAGAATGGTCAAGGAGCAAGGAACATATTTCTGTTAAAGCGAGCTAACTTCAAGGAGTTCTTTTGTTTCCCAATGTAACTAGACAGTACTCCTAATAGGTTCTCTAATCTACCTAGTCAGTACTCAGCCTCTCCTTGATGATACTCCGTAACACTTAGAAGTCGGATCCATGAGGCAATACGTTAGCTGAGGTGTATAATTGGATGATGGAACAGAATGTTACTATTGCTGTACTTACCCAGCACTTTGGCGGATATCTCCCACCTGGGGCTTCCTTTACTTGCTCTGCATAAACCCATTACTGCCTCATTAGTTAAAAGCAACGATAAGGGATACAAGGAAATGGAGGAGAAAATATCAAAGGCCCTGGAATTAGATTCAAGATGAAGCAGGAATGGTTTGCAGATGGTCGAGAAGATTGAAATAAACAATGAAAAATCTAATGCTTGGACAAGGAAAAATGTTTGGAATAAACGTAGCAGGACACACGTACCCAGTTATGACTGAGTTATGACGTAACGCTGCAACAATAACTTACACTTATATCGATCCATTTGTGTTAGACAAACAGCCCAGCGCGCTTTATAGAGACAATAAGGAGTGACAAGCATCAAGGAAAGGAAAGAAAATTAAAAGTTTATTGACCAAAGCAATGGTCAAAGAGATCATTGTAAGAACGTTTTCAATACAGGGAGAGAAGACTTGCAAGCTGAGCAATATTGAGAGAAGTTTCTGAGAGAAAGGACCTTGTGGCTTTCAGCTCGTTGGGATGTATTAGAGTGAGGAACAAACAATAAACCAGAATCGGAGAGTAGTGGACACTGACCAGCAAATAGATCTGGGGGATATTGCAGATTATTTGCAAGGTAATTTGGACAAGACGTAAATAAGGTGAAATGTAAATGAGGAACGGAAGACTGCTGCCAGGAAATGGTATGACTCAGTTGGTCTCGCCCATCTCCTTGACCTGGGGATACCTTTGCCTGGTCCTTTCTCGATTAGTGGAAGTAAGTGGGTTGAGAGAGAAAAAGTTGTGGGGGGAAAAAAATTGAAGTTTGCATATCATCAAGGCAACTCTTGAACGCAAGTGATATTCCAGGAATGTCATTGCTCCTCCAATTCAATAGAAGCCGGAGCAAGATCTCCATCCGATCGGTATGTGGTGATGGAACTGATTTTAAGAGAGTTCCCTGCAGTGCTACAGGGAACTGCGTGATATGCAGTTGATGCAAATAGTAACCCTTCCATTTGGTACAGCGCTTTTCAAGTCTAGAGGGCATCCCAAAGCCCTTCATGGGATATACTGTAAAGTGACTGCTTTTTGTTTGAGGCAGCCAATTTGAGCATAACCAGGTCCCATAAATAGCCATGAAGTAAATTATGTTTTTTTTGTAGCGTTCTGGCTCTTGAGGACAATAAAAATCAATTGAGAAAGCGAGGGATGGCTTTTGATGGCTCTTGACTTTCGTGACGCCATGTAACTAATGTGATGGCCTGCCCACCAATCCACGTACGATAGCTTCAGGATCAGGACCTTTGACGTGACACAGAATCTATAGTTTCCTTAGGAAATCGAGTTAAATAGCTGTTGCCTTAACAGACGTTTTTATGTGGCTCCCATATGCACAATGGTATATTAAAACATATAAAATATACATATTGGGTTCCCCCGGAAGACTTGGACCAAGCAATTCAGTCAGTTAAGGATGAGAATCCTGTACCTGGCATTCAGTGCTTTGATTATGCTTTCCAATGCCTACAGCAGATTTTCCCATTACAGTCCATACAGTTTAATCACATGCATGATTGCTGTGTATTTCAATTATTTGCATATATTTTCATTGCAGCTAACCTCTTCATGTGAAAGATTCTGCTTCTTTGCCTGTACAGTGTAACCAAAAGATGTGCAAAAACTATCCTGCGTCCAGGAAGGACCATAAATTATATGTGCGTTGACTCGGGCGGTGCTATTTACTGACCTTTAGTCCCAAGAACACAAGCCCAACCAACGTCATATTCATAAGCCACTCTCCGAAATGTTGCCAAGTGACTGGTTGTGTGTCTGTACTAATGGTTTGTCTTAAATTGTGAGCTGTGGCTGGGATACAGCATTGGAGATTGCGTGAGTGCAGAAGACTTGAGGCCATGAAATAATTTGAAAACTTAAGGCGAGCAGATTGAGATCAAGTAAAAGGTCATGGCATTGAAGAGTTGACATATGTGAAGGTTGGCGCCAGCGAGACCAGCAAGGGGAGCGTTGGAGAAACCAATCCTTTTGGCGATGAAGGCAGAGGTAGTGATTTTGGCAGCAGTGGGAGTATTTTGTTGTCTTCGTTTGCTGGAGGGTAAGAACGGGAGAGTGAGCAGTTCTGAGTCTCGGCTTGGTCAACATTCCACATAGCGACTGCGAATAAAGGACCAGAGATACAAGATAATAATAATAATAATAATAATTCTTGCATTTGATATAGCGAGACCGTGACAGGTCGTAGGGTAATGAGGCGAGGTCTGCAAATAGGATGTGTCTTTATGACGAGTGTTATTGAGCAAGGGGAAACTCCATTGTTTAGACAATAGTCTTTCATTGCTTCACCACTTGGAGGTAATGACGTCGACATTGTTTATCCCAATTAAAAATGCAATTCACAATTAGTCTCAGCGACCTCAGGCCAGGGAGGGGAAAATGACAGCGATGTCTTCTATGCTGTGGTTTTCGAATACCAAAAACCCATCACGAGAACACATAGCTGGTGCTTTCGCCTGGCCTCCAGACTTCTGGGGTCTGCCTCCTTCCAGCAAATCACGTTCTGCACATGTCTTAAGATCATTGCGTAAAAGCATCATGATGGAGTCAAGACATTGCCACTCGTGCAAACCGGCAGCAGTGTCTGGAGTCCCCTCCACCGGAGGAATTGGTGAAATCGCGGTACTTAGTGCCGCCAGGTCAAGATATCAAATATCTCACCAACGCTCACCGTCCAGCTTCACACAGCGAGTGGTTGGGCGTGAGGCACCAGAGGCTGGCAGCAAGGTTTTGCTGCTGAGAAAGCACATTGAAGACAAGACACAATGAATTAACTTTTATTTCCGCTCAGTCTGGCTCGTGAGCCAAGTTGTGATGAACATAAGAAGACTAAGCGCACTGGATAGCACGTAAAAATTGCCACCTGGCTGACTCGGTTCAGTATGGTACTGTACATGCAAGACTAATTCCCTGCTGATTAAAATGTTAACCTCGTGGCGGAACCCATTACAAAGTAGCGATTGTAGGTTTGAGTAATGTGGGCAGGCCAGTCCTTTTGAAGTTTCCTAACCCACAGGATTTACAATAATATACAATCCATGGGGAGCAAAAGCCACTTCCTTTCCGAGACCGAGGCCTTGAGTGCATGTAATGTTTCAGCAGCAGCACTTCCTGAGTTGGAGTTTCAATTGATGTTGTGTTGTTATAATGGTATTTATCGGGGAGCTTATGAGTGTTTTTATTTCAGAAATTTAGTCAAATTTTGCCTCCGCGTTTGAATATTGTGCTTGTGACTCACAAATCTTTTTCCCTGGTCTCATGCTTTTTTTAGCATTACCTGAAAGAGTCTGTGTCTGGCGTTCTGAAACACATACCTTGAGTTAAAGGATTGTTTTTTAAAACTAGTGTTGAGCAAAATTTTCAAACTAATTGGGTCCATTGTGGATTTAAGTATAATAATGCGTTTGATATAGCATCTTACATGTAAGGAAGAAGTCTCAAAGCACATCGTGGGATTTCGTGTAATGTGCGGTGACTGTACTTTGTAGGTGATTGCGGCAGCCAATTTGTGCACAGCTATGTCTCAGGCACAGCCATGTAGATACAAAAATATTACGAATATCAGGCCATCACCTACACATTGCTAACCGATAACCTTCTTCCATTAGGATTAATACTGTTACTGTCGGGCACATAGTGTTAGCCCTCATCTCTCTTTCTCTTTCCATGTCTCCCCACACATTGCAAGCCCTTTCTCTTCCCTACAGTGACATGCTTTCTCTCTCTACCTACCTTAATATCTATCTTGGAAAAGTTTACTCTTCGTGCTGGCAAGCACTAACTGATAAGGTTACACTCAGTAAAGATTTTGCATTAGGGATTGGAGAAAAGTGTGTCTGTCGCGTGTCCACAAGTACTCTAGTGACTAGCCAGCCTGGCTGGCTCATAAATAGGAGGAGTAGACATGGCATAGAGGAGAAGGTAGAGGAGTTATGCAGGAACGCTGTGCAATTCCTTATCATGTCTTAAGATTTTTTTGTGTGTGGTTTCCTCCTTCACCAGAATGTTACCAGGGCTTTAAGGGGTATATCATGAGGACAGATTGTATGAACTTGGTCTGTATTGCCTCGAGTTTAGAAGGTTGAGAGGTGATTCGATTTGAGGTTTTGAAAATAATAAAGGGATTCGATAGGGTAGATACAGAGAAACTATTTCCTCTGGTTGGGGAATCCAGAACAAGGGGGCATCATCTTAAAATTAGAGCCAGGCCATTTAGGAGTGAAATCAGGAGGCAGTTCTTCATCCAAAGGGTAGCGGAAATCTGGAGCTCTCTCTTCCCCCAAAAGGCTGTGGATGCTGGATCCATTCACATCTTCAAGACTGAGGTGGACAGATATTTTTTAGGTCAGGGTATCAAGGGGTGTGGAGCAAAGGCAGGTAAATGGAGTTGAGGTACTGATTGGCCATGATCTAATAGAATGGTGGAACAGACCTAAGGGTCTGAATGGCCTACTCTTGTTCCTATATTCCCTTCAGCGCGTTATCTATACACATTCATTGGTGTATGTTCCTGGCTTGTACCTGCCCTTCTGTATAACGTGTACAGTTTATTGCATGGACCGTTTAGCTGTATTTCTCACTGTTAATGGATGTTAGATTTTGATGAAAAATAAACCAAATTAACCTTTTACGTTCTTTTCTAGTCGAACAAGGTGCCTGTGGTGCAGCCATCGCATGCAATTCACCCCCTCACACCTCTCATCACTTACAGCGATGAGCACTTTGCACCAGGAGTTCACCCAACACACATCCCCACAGATGTCAACTCCAAACGAGGTGAGGAATCTTACACGTAACTTCTAAACTTCCTTTGCACACATATGCACTCGCACAAACATGCTCATTCTCATGCATGTCCACTCACTCTCATTTACCTATACGCACTCTGTCTCACACACACACATATATATATCTATATATATACATATATAAAGGGGGACACAAACGTCTTATTTTTCAGCTACTCTATTTTAAAAAAAACATCATTTCCTTGAGACTTATCAGACGTTGTAAGGGTAACACAACTTTTCGGTCACCCAGTACAAGCAATCAGTCTTGCATTGCCATGTACTGTCATGTGGATGTGCTGTCACATGTGCTCCCACACACATGTACGCAGACACAACACACACCCACAGACACAACACACAATGACATTCACACACCATACTCTTTTTCTACTATAGTTTCTCATCTGTCTGAGGCAATCAATGTAAATCGATCCAGGAGCATTGCTTCTGTGTGGTACATTTATTTACAGCATTTCCTCTATCAAATATCAAGCTATTGTGGACAACTTTGAGAAAGTAACAGCAATTCAGCGCAGGTCTGTGATTGTCTCTCAGTATACTGACCCCCAGTGGCCAATGACTTCTGATAGTTGGCGACTTGATTCAGCGAGACCCACTGTGCTCATTTCTAACTTGCTCGTCGATGTTTGAAACACCTCGGCATTTCTAACGGAAGGAAGGGACACAAAGTACTGTCATGTATGAGACTTGTTTTCAAGAACTGGATTAGAATAAGGCGATTGTACAATGACTTTTTGGTGTGTGTGCGTGCAAATGTTTCAAATAACTCTATCCAGCAGCAAAATTATTTGAACTAATTCTGTAATTTCTTGCTCCCACTGGAATTTGATCACGTCAATGAAGTCACCCTAAGAAACTGTAGACAATGATTGTAGACTTAACCCAAGCCACCAGCAAGTGTACATTTTAGTTCTCTCCACTCCCAATAACACAAGGCTAATACAGGAGAGGTAACAGAGTAAACTGTCCCACGCTGTTGTTAGCTATTGTGCATCAGCAGCTGAGCAAACATCAAGTTAATACTAACATCATAGGAGGTAGGTTAAAAAGGAAGAATTGTTTGCACATTGCACTGAGAGACCAAGTTGTGAGCAAGATTTACCATCTTTAATGGTCTGTTTGTTCTGCGGGGGGGAACAGTGTGTGGAAAAAATAGATAATTGCACAAATATAACAATTTAGCTCCTCCCCTGATGACTTGGGGAACAATCACAATTGCATGTTATGGCACTGAGTCATATAGACTGGCAAAATAGCCAGGGGCAGATGAGAGTGATGTGATAGGTGGTGAAGAATAGCAGTATCCACAAACACATACTTGCAGTTTCATGCATTGATCGTAAATAGAAGTCCGGTTGCTCAGTGGTTAGAGCACTCGCCTCGCAAGCGAGAGACCTGGGTTCGATTCCCGGGCAGGACGAAATGTTGGGCAAGTTTCCTTACTCCGCACGCCTCTGTTTACCGACCAGTAAGTAGGAACCCAGTTGTTAGTCGATTGGCGGATCGCTTTTCCGGGGGTAATAATTCCTTCAAAGAAAATAAATCACAAAAAATTGGTCACTCAATCCAGGATTGTTTGTAAAGTATATCCTGTGAAGCACTTTAAGACGTCTCGAAGAAGTGATAAGGCACTATATCAAATGATAGGATTATTATTATTATTATTATTATTACACGTTCGCTTTGGAAATCCCGTTATAAAACCTTAACAAATTATTTGCGCGTGTTAGTGATTTCCCTTTCTGAGGCGACATCCCCCCACCCCCACCCGACTCCCGGCTTGGCATCCAAAGTGCTTTTTTTCTAATGTTTCCATTAGAGAAAATATATCTAATTAGATATGCATGCAGCTTTCTTAAAGTATATGCTTGATTTGAGATGCTTGTCTCTGAGTTTTTATAGTCTCTTGGGTTTTTTTTGAACCACAGTTTTCAGCTGACACATCCCAGCTTTTTGCAAGCACAGATCAAAGGCACTATCCAAACAGATAAGGATCTCTGGTAGGTGGGGAATTGGACACTGTCAAATCGGGTGTGGACATCTGAAGCCCAGGGTTTCCAGATCATAAAAACCTACATCCCACACTGGATTTTACGATAAGTGAGCACACGAAATAGTTCAGGTTTTGAAGTCGGAACGTTTTTTTTATGTTCAGTTCAAAACCAAGACAATTCCCTGCTCAGTCAGGTCTAAAGACTGCGTGGGACAATCACTGAGACAGGATGAGATTCTGCTGGTCAGTAGACTTTGCAGCCATTCACTTATAATCAAGGAAATCCTGGTGTAAATGCCAGAGTCGTTAATTTCACCAACCAGCGGGTGCACCCTTAGATGTCTGATCTTCAATAGCTTTAGCTGAAATGCTTCATAAAGCAAGATATTTCTCAGTGAAATCAGGTTGTTGATCTATGTTTGTCTGGTGGCTTGTATTGATTCACCAGCTCAAAGATAAAACCTAACTAGAATTCTACCTTTTGTTGTCCCCATGGGACAAGAGCCTGTTATGGCTCTTGGCCAAACAACTAGATAGAGTGCATCACAACACTTTATAACCCTTGCATTTGATATTTGATTTGATCACGTCTTCGAGACGTCTCAAAGCTCTTCAAAGCAATTGGCTACGGCGATTCTCCCTCAAAATACACAGTCAATTCACTTTACGGTATATTCACTTGACAGAATATACTGTAAAGTGAATTGACTGTATATTTTGAGGGCGAAACGCGGCAGCCAATTGCGCACAGCAGCAGATTGAAGTGACACTTTTTCTTAAGGAATTATTACCCTCAGAAAACTGATCCGCCAATGGACTAACAACCGGGTTCCTAATTACTGCTAGGTAAACACAGGCGTGCGGTGTAAAGAAACTTGCCCAACGTTTCGCCCTGCTGGGAATCAAACCTAGGGCTCTCACTTGTGAGGTTAGTGCTCTAACCACTGACTTAAGGACTTCATTAATGATTAATGAAGGAGAACCAGTGGCACGTGTGAGATCCGTTTCTGAATGGGAGCTAAGATTGCAGGATTTATTTCTTTTCAATGCAAATGAAGAAAGATTTACAGCCTAGCCATGACACAGTCCTTTCCGGAATCGACTCCACAGATGTGCTTCCTCCAGCAGCAGCCATCGGATAGAAATCAGGGCTGAAAACCGTTTCATCGTCTTTGCCTTAAGATCATTGTCTTAGAATTTCAGATTGCACGGGATTTGGGAAAATTGTTGAATTCAGTTTTTACTTTGAAGTTAGTTCTCTGTAGCTCTTGAAACAACTCACAGAAAGCCATCTTCGAGATTAAGACTATAATTAAGCATTTGCCTATAAAGGGATCTTCATCGTGACAACATTTTCTCCCAAAAAGTTGGGATTTGGTGGTGTTTTGCTCTGGCCTTTTTCCATAATTTTACGATTTAATCCATTTTGTTCGTATTGGAAAATATACTGTAATATACAAAGCAAAAATCTTACTTTGCTCTCCCCAGTCCTTTGCTGATTATCACACATTTGACCCAATTGGCACCATTGCAAACCCGAATACATTCAGGAGGTCAATGAACAATTCGTTTCAATGTCCACCTGATCTAATCTCTTCTGTCGGACCCAGGACATCACGTTAGTGTTTTATCACGTGACAAATTGTAAAAAAAAAGGTGTAACAATCTTAATGGATTTCCCACTTGCAAATATAATAATCCTTGCATTATTGGAGGGATTTGTTTTATATAATTTTTTTAATAAATACGTAAAGAAAGGGTTGTTCATATTAGGTATTGTGTGGGGGGGGGAAAACATTCTTGGATTTAAAATGAGCTAATTTGTTAGAGGAAAAATTAAAAAAATTCATTGAGGTGTCAAATAACAACTCCGTTCGATAACTAGGAAATGTCGTTACCAGCCATGGAGTCGCTGCTACAACAGCAACAACAACAACTTGAGTTTATATGTCACCCTTCACGTGGGGTAGCGTCCCAGAGCGCTTGACCCCGAGCCGGGGGGAGAGGGATGGGGGAGATGACCATGAGCACGATCAAAAAGGAAGGTCCTTAGGCGGCATTTGACAGTGGGTAGGGAGGGGACAAGGTGGAGCGATTAAGGGAGGGAGTTCCAGAGCTTCGGGGCGCAGTGGCTGAAGGCACGGCCGCCGATGGTGGAGCGGAGGGGATGAGGGACGAAGAGGAGGCCGGAGCCAGCCGAGCGGAGGCAGCGAGTGGTGGAGTGGGGGGTTAAGCAATCGGATAGGTAAGGAGGTGCGCGGGAGTGAAGGGATTTGACAACCAAAGAGCTACAGGGGTTGATCACGTCAGAGTGGACTTCCTGTGGGTCAGCGCGTGATGTGATGCACTTCCCCGGAAGGACTTGCTATTTTTGACTCAGAGGCGTTACTTGTCATTCCACAGACCATTTCAGACCTCGATGCCAGTCTTGTTTGGGCATTCACAGAGTTTAGCCCGATCAGAAGAGTGCAACCTCACAGAAGGAGCATTTGTTCCTGCTGTTTGTCTGTATGATGATGAGTATTCCCTGTTTTTCTCAGCGCTGCTTTCATTTCTTCACGTCTTTCTGATTCAGTGTGCGAGGCAGGAGCTGTTTGAGCACATCTGCATGGTATGGTTGTGAGGTAACGATAAGCTGTGTAACATCCCATTTATTGGGAGGCTGATTTGGTTAATGCTTCGAGAGCATTTTGATGCAGTGTCAGCAATTGGCTGACAGCTTGACATGAAGTGTACGTTGTTTGTGTGTGTGTGTATGGGGGGGAATTTTAATGTGGAGAAACACTGCGCTTTACAGTGTTAGATCAGACGTCCTCAGGGTAGAGTTTCAGGTATACCATAAAATGCAAAGATCTATTTGGGATTAAAACTCTGTTTTAATCCTGCGAGGCACTTCTGAAAGCTGTAGGGCTTCGTGTTTGTAGGTTGTCAGTTGACAGAGTACTTCTGGCACAGCTTTGGATGTTAAATACTACACATGCAAAACTATTTGACCTTGAAGCCCTAAGGAATCGGCTTGATGAAGAGCTTAGTATGAGCTGGAGTGACAATAGTGAGGCAAATGAATCATATCAAGTGTAGGCATTAAGGGACTGAAAATGATTCTTAATTAACTGCTGATCCTTCGAGGTTGCGAATCCTGACAAACCCAGTGTCTTTAGGGAGAAAGCTGAAACCTGGCCTCGTAATGTTTTCGAACCAAAATATATACCTTTCTGTACATCTGGGGACACCGAAGACAATAGCAAATGGGAAACCGCTTGCCCTGTGGGATCAATGAAGTTAAATTGGCCACTAACTTAAAGGATTTGGTGGCTCTTGTCATGCTAATAGCCAACAAAAGGTTAAAGTAAAAAAAAATGGTCCAAAAAGCACGATCAGCATTGCAGTGGCTCTCTTAACAAGGAAGTGGGTTTAGCGGGCTCCAAAATGTAATGTTTTCAATCCCAGTTTCTTCAGGGAATGGTGAGCCTTTGGTTCAAGGCAAACAATGGAAAATTGCAATCACAAATGTCATAATGTGGTCCCTGTTCTTTCCACCTCCCCCCCTTGCAATTCTGTACTTTCAAACGGACCGAAAATAGTGACGTTTTTTTTAATAAGCAGTGAACAGAACAGGTATACTCGTCAGCGAAGGTAAAGAAATTACAGTTTCCGAGCAGGGAACAATAAATAGGTGATCCAGGTTCCTCTCTGTGAGAAAACACAGCAATATTCACTGACTAGTTAGGCTCTCTGCATCACAGGGGATTGCACCTTTTCTGTTTTGGTTGGTTTCCTTCGTCCGTGGTGCTTGTGAATTTTTCCTGCTATTATTTCAGTGACAACTCTGCCCTATTGTATCTTTCATTAGAAATGTCTTCTCGGGAAAGCTTAAAGGATTATATTCATTTTTTGTTGCCTTTCTGAATGTACTTAAAGCTGTACTTCACCATAATTGATTTTCTTGGAAGATCGCTACCAAACAAACCCACCTGCACTAAATGTTTACCAAACTTGACCAGGTTAATCCCGAGTTAATTCCTTTGCTGTTTTTATTTGGACAGTTTGTAAGACCGTTTAGTTTTAACACCTAAGATTGCGCAGAAAGTTCTTATGTCCAGTTTTTAATTTGAAAGCTGAGTATCGGCAGTTTTATGTACTGCAGAATGAAGACTGAATCGAAGAATATTCCACAATTCCACATGATATCACATGTTAAAATACTTATTCAGGCAAAGACTTGAGGTGGAATATCAGGTCTTCATAAGGGTCACGGCGTGGCTTGTGTGGGAAATGGGCAGTGTCACAATAGTGCTGTAGAGGTATCGTTTGGCAATTTGGGCTAAGGCACATTGAGGCAGGGTAGAGGGAGTGTTTCTCTGCGTGCTATACTTATTCCTGAGAATGGAATACATACTGGTCTGCACCGCTTGATCCTCACACTGAATTCCTGAAATAGGGATGCGTTGCATTTACCAGCAGTGACGTCCATCAAGTCGATGAGCTCTAAATGCACTGATTGTAAATTATCAATCGATACCCAAAAGATGCATTAGTTGCAAACCTCTTTTGGTGACCTTCATGCTTAAGGTTTGGCAAATGTTCCTAACTGTGATCGGCAGGAACTGTTAGAAGCAGGTAGATGCCCATGATTAATGTTCTAACCTGGCACTGCCTGGATATTTCCCATCCCCAGATGGGAAAAATTAGTTGGGATTTTTGCTGAGCCGTGTGTTGTCAGCAGGTCTTTCATTGTGATAAAAATGTATTTTATCGGGGCCTTGTCACTTTATGAACTGTACAAGACACTGCTTGCAATATGAGCCCATATAAAACATTTAGATTTAGCTTATGCCTAAGCGTTCTGAGATGCCTTACTTAACCATTGCTCCGTTTGTATTTTAAACCGTGTTTTGATCTATATTTTAATATACGTAAAGTGTGAGAGGGAGAAAAACATGCACAGAAGATGATATCCTAACAAAAACAACCAAAGTAAATTATGCAGATGACTCCCACGATGGTCAGGGAGACATTCAAGTCCTCTGCTTTACTGGGGAATGCTCATTAAACAATGGTCTTACGTTCTAAGACATAAAACCGTATTCACTTCTTCTCACACAGAGAAATTTAATCCACTAAAATACCCTATTTCATGGAGACACTGGATCGTGATCACATTCAGGTGTTTACAAAGGTCATTGCAAACAGAGGAGCCCTTAATTGTTGTTTAATGTTTAACAGCAAACATTACGATGTATCAAAAGAACTATTTGGGTTTAAATAATGTTGCGTTCATTTCCCCAATAAGACAACTTAAGACCGGTAAAAGTGTTTACCAAATTTCTTTCCTAGAATCAATCGTTGAAGCATTCTATCTGCATTGATGTGAAACACAGATACTCTGCTGTACTCTGTCAAGTGTCAGTGGGTATATTTGAAATGTCTTTCATCTTGAACGTGTACACTTGTGTATTTATTCTGTGTCATTGAGATTATGTGTTTTTTTTCTCTCCCCAAAAAAAGGTTAAAGTAAATCATTTCTGATTATTTTTCATCTCATGCACATCCTATTCACCCTTTTTTAATTGTGTTAAAGTGACTTTTGGAAATCTAATAGGCTTGTATTTGTTCTCATCCAAACTACCCCTCCTCATCCACCCTACAGGTATACACAGACACCCTCCAGGTCCTGAAATGCCCACCTTCTATCCCCTATCTCCAGGCGGTGTTGGACAGCTTACCCCTCCTCTCGGATGGTAAGTCCTTATTTCCCTTTGAACTTAAGCCAGTCAGGTGCTGGTTTTTTTTTCCCCCCCTGTCTCTCTCTCTCTTTTTAATCTGTTTCAAAGTACATGTGACTTTGAAATTGAAACGCATGTGACTGATGTAATACTTCAATTGCTTACATTTAGATTTTTTTTTAAAAAAAATTACAGCCGGATAGTCAACTCTGTAATTTCACATTTGCATCGAATAAGTTTGAAAGGTATTCCCAGGCATATCGTGTCAAAACATATGTCATGAGAAGCAGACACGGCTATGGCATATTATATGAAGATTACAACATTGGAGGAAATGGCGCAACCCCCAATGGCTCATTGGGAAGATGCACTGTGTGGTGTGTTACTCCACTGGCTCCCCATCACACAGGGGATACAGTTCAAGTTCCTGGTCCTCGCCTTCAAAGCCCTCCATGGCCTCGCTCCTCCCTACCTCTGTGACCTCCTAAACCCCCCACCAACCTGTCCTCTTCCTCCGTTCAGCGGGCTCCGGCCTGCTTCACGTTCTCTGCCTCGCCCGCTTTACCATTGATGGGCGGCCCTTCAGCCTCTCTGCCCACACCCTCTGCAACACTATTCCACAGTCCCTCCGCCTCATCCCCTTCCTTGCCTCCTTCAAGATCTTTTTCAAGACCCTCCTCTTCGACCATTGTTTTGATCACCCTCCCGCCCATACCTTCCATCCCTCCTGATCCCAACCACCAGCTCGGGTACGGATTCCTAACTGTCTAGCGCCTTGGGACATCCTCCTGACGTGAAAGTGCTACACAAATGTAATTTGTTGTTGTTCTGACGCACGCATAAAGACCAGAAAGCTGCCAGATTCAATCCCAGTACCTACTGAGTTAGCTGACCTGGCTGACTAGCAGACCGAGGGAAAGGTTGCTGTAATCGGCCTCAGCACCTACCCTCGGAAGAGAATTGCCCCAAGTCCTCCTGACACCGTGAGAGGAAAATAAATTGGGCTGACGTCCGACTGCTGGTTGCAATCCAATGGCTCCAGCTGGAACGCACACGCATCTGGACGTCACGGCGAACACAGGAGCAGGCTTGGCTGCGATGCTTTCCTCTCCTCCCTCTCTCAAGTGAAATAGCCTGCCAACACTCACTGTCTGGGGCTTGCATGAAGAACGGCAGCTGGCGAGACACCAGAGGATCGCCAGTGTCCGGGAAACTGTACGCCAACGAGAGGGGAGAACAAGACCCCAGTGACTCGAGGCAGTCTGAAATGTATTATTTGCAGCCCCGTTGTAAACCGCCAACAGGAAGCACCAAGCGCAATGATCAGGGAGTGACGCTGAGGTCTTTTTTGCGAAGGAATTGACGTAAGCGGCACTTTGTTGTGCGCAGAGCGTGTGTTTCGTGAGCAGGAAGTGACATTGGCGGGACTTTCTGCGTCTATCGACGGTCAAGGATCCTTGTCCCCGCGTGAAAGGTAGTCAGTGGTTACACCAGCTGCAGTCTGTACCCCCTTTGCGTGTTGAGCTCACCGCTTGGGGCTGTCTAACATGAATCCCGCAAGGACATATTAGGTGAGGAAAGGGTATGGAGGTGATCTTTCCTGATCCATAGATTTGTGACGATATAACAACAATAAATTCCACTGAAGTAGCGCCTTTCACGTCAGGCGGATGTCCCAAGGCACTGTACGAGCGCGCCACACGAGTGATGTCTAATCGCACTTCATAAAGAGTTCCATCAGGTTTCATTAAAAGGAGCAATCCCGAGTGGTATAAATCACAAGCTGCAGGCTCCACAGTGCCTGTATTTATGACTTCAAAAAAACAGAACAACAACGAGGACAGATAGTGTTGGGGGGGGGTGGTGGGGGGTGGGGGTGGGTGCACACCCACAAAGAATCCTTTTGTATTTCTCAACAGCGCACATTATCAACGAGACCACAACTTTATAACCAGCCCAGGTGTTTGTTATTTCCTGTTTACCCAGCCTGAGATGACGCTAAACCCTGAGAACGTTCGCAGCAGAACGTATCTGTTGGACTTTCACAGCCGCGCGTTGCACCAACACTTTACACCTTAACTCTGAAAAACCCCAATCGCGGTGGTTGCCATTCAAACAGCGATCGAGCTCGTCTCAATGTGGCGTTTGTACACAAGTAACCACTTTAAGCGATTGGTGAATGACATTCAGCCCGAGGAGCGTTCAGGTTTTTTTCCAGTAGGACGGCTGATTCTTGTGGCCAAAGTCAAGGCAATGGAGTCATTCCACTTACAAAGAGTTGTGTCAAATGTGAAATGGTCACATTGAAATACACTTCTCCCTTGTGATTGATTATGTTTCCTGTCTGTGCAGAGCTCAGTGGAAAACGATGCAGCTTTTTTTTCAGAATCGCATGTGTCATTTTCCCCAAACAGCAGGTTATGATTACAGCGAAGTGTAAATCCGACTGAGTGTTTTTTATAACCCTTTTTCTCCTGAAGTAGGTCTGTTTGAAACTGTCACTTAAAAGGGGGGAAAAAAATGTACAATTAGTCCTTACCGGCATATCTTGTGCTGTATTTTCTGATTAAATGACCTAAGGGGAATGTTAATTTTAAAGGATGTAAATCTAATGTAAACCTAGAGACATTTTAAAGTGTTTAACGCTATCGGAGTGTGCAGCAAAAACAAATCTTGCCTTTAACATCCAGAGGGCTGAAATATTGCAGAGTCTCGGCCTTAAGACCAACGTCATTTAAGATTATGCAGAATTTTGGAAGATTCCTAAATTACGTCTTAATTTGGAAGTCAGTTTTCTGCAGTATCCAGATTGCTGGATGTGTTCTGTGCCGGTGGAAAAAACAGTTTCACATTAAGACTGAAGTTAAGAATTTTACTTTTTAATGGCATTGGTTTTCAGGCTAAGACCAAGAGAGATTGTGGCCTCTGGTTTGAGAAGCGTGACAGGAAAACTTCAGGTTCTTGTTACCACATGGTGGAGAGGTTTACTCATTCACCTGGATGTATAACATGTCACTAACCTCATCATTTGCTTTTTCAGTTAGCTGAATTCAGCCAGCAACAGTTGGCAGAGCAGGGAAGGGGTGGCGCTTGAGGTGTTACAACTAGTTTCAGTGTCCAGGAGTAGGAGGGAAAAAGTTAACCAAGATTTCCCACTCTTCGTCTCTATTTACACCTATGATGGACAGTGCATGTGTGTGGAGAACACGTGAGGTCAGGATAACTTAGCTTCACAGACTCCGCCACTGACTCTGCTGTGAGGTAGTTAGTGCAAGAGAGGGATGGGGTGAGGAGAGGTCTGGCTCCTGTACGTCCAGGTAAATTTATTGGGATAAATATTGAATACATGGTTCAATTGAGTAAGCCAAAGGCCTTATTAAATCCAAATCTATAATATCGACTTGGACCCCCCCTTATTCACCAGTTCTGTCATTTCCTCATAGTAATGTACTCCATAAGAAGGTTCAGATAGAGAAGCTAATAATAATAATAATAATCCTTGCATTTGATATAGCGCCTTATCACGTCTTCGAGACGTCTCAAAACTCTTCACAGGATACACTGTAAAGTGAATTGACCGTATACTTTGTGGGCGAAAATGTAAGCTAGCACATATGTATTGACCTCTGGAGTATCCCTGGGTTTGTTGAAGAACAGTCCAGTGTCCAGAGAACTGAGCCTTTTACAAAGAATCAACGTCTGTACGAGACAAGGGGAGAAAAATGGGCCAAACCAAAAGTCAGGGAAAAATATCAGGAAGAGTTGAGCGTCAGCTTTATGTGATCATATGTCCCAGAGGTTGTTTAAGTGGAACCTGGAGTTTTCCATTTAAAATGTCTGCACAGGCATCCAGCGCTGTAGGAGTCACACATGTGAGTGACTGAGAACTGTTTTATTTGACGGGTTCTGCACTAAAAAGCATTTTTTTTTTTCCGTGAAGGGGAGCGCTTCGGTAATGATTTTCCACAGAAACTGAGAACGTTTTAACTTGATTTGTTCGGGTAGAAGTTTAGGCTGTCGTTTCCTGCGAGGGTTGCGGGTGGTGGTGAGGGGAAAGGGAATTGTGGACAGAGACGTAAGGACAAAACGGAAAAGGTCCAAGGTACAAAGCTTTGTTGAGATAACGAAAGCAGAAGCTGGCTGGTTGATTTGGGTCCTTTCTCTCTGACCCCAGGCAAGGTCAGCCTATCTATCCAGTTTCAGGTGGATTCAGGCAGCCCTACCCAACAGCACACCCAGTCAACACTCCCATATCTAGGTAAGGTGCAGTTGCTGAAAGACTACTGAGTGGCTCTTTGAGTGAAAGGGCAAGTTGCTGTCCTGCTTGCAGCTGAACATGTTTCTGCTTATCTGCTAGCTGGGTTCGATAAATTAACGCCTGTGTCACACAACGCTTACACAGTCTTGCAAAGGCACAATGGACCCATGGCGTGGTGCACCGCAACAACAGCAAAAAAAACTCGGTATAGCGGTGAGCACGTCCAGCTCTGATTTAAAACTTGGCAATCGCCCTTTCAAAGAATGAATGCACGTCCCTTGAATTGAATTCTCAATAAATTCCGCATCTTGCAAGTATAGCTTTCCGTGCGGGGAGGGAGAATTGGAGGGAGTCTCATGGCCAGAGTTCATCCTTGCAGAAGCTGACTGTAGGGGCCTCAGAATTAATCATGCACCTACCCTCTCTCTTGTTGACTCCTTGCACTGTAAGCTCCAGGCATAGAGGGTGGCAATCACACACCGACTGCTTCCTACCTGAGGGGTACACATTGCTCTGTCAGTGTCGCACTCACTATTGGTAACTCAGACAACCTGCAAAGGGCTGTCCAGGTCGATAGGAAAGCATGTCACCAGGTGGATAAATAATTGTGCTCTACTCCACTTTATGAGTCGAGAATCCTCGCTCATAACATCCGTGTGGCCCAAAGTGAGGTGATGGGGCAGCGGGTGGAATCTTGTTGAGTGCGTTCGAATGAATTAGGCTCCTTTATAGTAAACACAGAAGAATCATCAAACTGGTTTCAAGTGAATTCAGACAGTATTGTGCTTAACCGGCTCCCTAGAAAAAAGGGATCTTCAGTGTGTAATACCCAGGCAATTCGACTGTTTTGCTATTTACATTGCCATGAGCACGAAACTTAAATTAATTAGAATTATCTGATTGAGAGCACAATTATTACAATATAATCCATTTTAACCACCAAACAACAACAACAAAGACGTCTTGTACAATTTAGCTTTTAATTGCTCAAAACAAGTTTGCTCATTGCTGTTCTTTCATGTTTTCCTGTTAAACTAAATTGCAGTTATCAAAGGCAGTATAGCTTAATTTCACTCCACAATTAACCACTCAATTATACTTTGAAGCATGTTTTTTTTCGGGAAAGAAAAATCCTGTTATGTAAACATCTTATGTAACAGCTGTGGGATATGACCGTGTGAACTGAATTTCTACTAAAAGAAATCACAGCCACCAGAAACATTAATCAGACCAGACCATGTTATTTTACAAAATTGAAATTTGTGGTCACTTTATGTGACAGGTGCAGTCAGCTGGGCCCTTGTTATTCAGTGCAGTTTCAATGCTGAGTAGAGTTGAGGCGTTCATGCTAAATTACTCAAACTCTCCCCCCAAAAAACACTGATGATTCCTGCTTCAGGCTCTGTACAGAGTGGACACTTTGCGTTGTGTGAACCAGGCGTTATACTCTGCATCTTGCTAGCAAGGTGTGCTGCACATCACCCGCTGAACTGCACACAGTGGTTTGTGACACACTTTACACGTGGCTGCTTTTCAATTGCCTGTTAAGACTGCAGGGTCCCATGGTTTTGTAAAGAAAATGTTTGCCTTTGTATTAACGTTTGCTTGTTTCCACAAGTGCGGGCTTGTGACCCGCTCCCAGATCTTGCGAGCCATTGGCACTGGGTATCGGGCCACCGGAGAGTGCGTACAAGTGGGCACTGATTTCCCCTGCCACCTTAGGGTGAAGCACTTCTCCTCCCTCTCACTTAACGCCTCTGGTGTCTCCGTTGAGATCAGGCGTGCCAGGGGAAGGGAAGTACATGATTTAAGCCATGTTCCTGACACCTTCCAGCTCTGACCTCAAATGAAACAAAACCTATAATTCTGTTGAATTACTGAGCCAAGCCTTGTCATAGCCCTGTAACCTCAAAAAGCTGCCGGGCATTGCTAACGTCAGGACAACTTCCAGTCCCTTGACACCCTGTGCACTGGCAGCTGACACACTAAACTCTGCTAAATTACAATTAAATAGAACCAAAAACTATATTTTCCTCTTTAAATCCCTCCTTCCCTCCCAAATATATATTTACAATCATAACCACCCTTTCTGATGATGGTAATATTACATTTTCGCACCGGAACATGCCTGGCAGGATGTGGATGAATGTCTATGGTTAATGTTGTCCAGCTTTAATGTTTTGTATTTTCATATGGTCCGTTTGTTGCTGTTTATCTTACACTGCAAATAAAGTTGGGATCTAAAATACGATACTCGCAACCCTGATTAGTTTGCGCTAATCGTAATTTCCAGTGTGTGGTTCACATTGTTAAGATTCAACTTGAAAGTCAGCAAAAATAAATCTCAAAATCATGAATCACGAACCACAAGTTGCAATTAGAGTAACTATTCCAATTGGAGGATATTGTGTTTTACCCCAGCGATAGATATGGACAGGTGTTCATCGTTTCAAGCGAAGGATACAATATTCTTCCTCTCTTGGAAGATGTCTTTTTGCTCCTTGGGAAAAACCATTGAAACTCGATTATATGTATCCTGTGGGATTAAGATCCCACCATATGGACAATTAGGTATTTGAGCCCATGTCCTGTAACAATCGGGTGTTATAATTTTTACACTGATCATCTCATGACTTAGAGTTGGTGTCAGTTGTTGTACTAGAGCAACATGTTTGAAGTGCTGAAAATGACCCAATCCAGCCAAACTAGTAAATAAAAATGCACAATCTCTAAGTAAACTGAGGCACAATGACCTCTTGCATGGGTGCATGTTACACAGAATTGACAAATGCGGTCCACGTTGACTAGATTTTAACAGTGAAGGAGATCTATTGATACTTCTCATCCTTCTATGCAGCAACTGACCAGACTGTGACATTTGCCTCGGCTGAACTTTAAGGCTGATGTTACGATGAAAACGTTTAACCGAATTTCATCGTAGAAAAACACTGGGGTTATACATTTTATACAGAGGAACCCTGTTATAATGCTCTTCCAATACAGCGCTGCCCCATTCACAAAGGTGGAGGAGTTATAGACTCTGATATTTTCAGAGAAAATCCCATTGTTAAGCACGGAATAGTTGACTCAGCGTGAAGCACTGCACGCTCACAAAGCGCAGGAAGAGACGTGCCAGTGACCTGATGATCTGGAACCTATTTTCATGTGCCAGTCAAGCAGTACGCTGGCTTTCTGCGCACGAATGCGGCACGTTTCAGAGACGTCACAAAGCCGAACGCCAAAGCACCTTGCTCCAAAGCACCAAACGTAGATTACAATGTGACGGACGCATTCCCTGTTAATTTATGAATCGCTGGTGTGAACCAACACTATCTAGGACCAACGGGGTATTATCCAATCAATGATATCTGTATGCTTGTAAAAGGAGACTGATAATGAACTTGGAACCTAGATGAACATTCCTGCACAGGTCTAAGTGGTACTGTTTGGAAATACGCTTGCTATGTATATCTGCATTTACACATCCAGTCCGGCCTCCGCTTCTCCTGCTTTCTCTCGTCTTCTGTGTGTCCGAGTGCAAGAAACACCAGTGCCTTTGCGATTACGTTTGCTCTGCGATCGATTTCATTTCTTCTGTTTGTTTCTGGTCTGCCCAACCTCAGGTTTTCACACCACATGATGCCTGGCCAACCAGGTCATCATGCAACTGGAATTCCTCACCCAGCAATTGTCAACCCTCAGATCAAGCAAGAACCTATGCAGAATGAGAGTGAACTAATGAGCATGTAGGTTGATTTACATAGCTTTAGACTGTACAGCACAGAAACAGGCCATTCGGCCCAATTAGTCTTGACTGGTGTTAATGCTTCATATGAGTCCCCACCCACTCCTTACTCCCTCCTTCCCTCCCACACCCTTCTATTCCTTTCTTCCTCACATGTATATCTGGCTTCCTCTTAAGTGCATCTATACATTCTGTTTCAACCGGAGTTCCACATACTCGCTACCCCCTGCATGAAGCAGTTAATAATAATAATAATAATAATAATAATAATAATAATATCTTATACTGGTGATGAATAGATTTGGAGAGTAGATATTTTTTATTGGAGAGTGGAGGCTCTGTTTTAAAACCATGCATGCGTACTGCTTTCTCTTAAGTGGAAGGGCACGCTCCTCTGATAGCCTACTGATTAAAGGCATCACCAAGTCATACAGCAATAAGCCATATGGTTGCAAGTTCAAGTCCTGGTGTGTAGGCATCCTGAGTTAACTGACCTCAGGTAAGACAGCAACTGGCTGGTACATTGGGGCTTAATGTCCTTGACCAGGGAGCAGGGAAATCGATCAAGGTTACCGTTGCTGATCACTATATCCAAAGACTACTTTCGCAGGTGCATATCTCAGGTGAAGGGAGGACAGGATGCCTCTTGTGGCTGAAAAGCCTATCAACACTCAGAGTCGAGGCTTACACCTGTATAACGACAACTTGGTTGAGCTGCTACAATGTAGGGTGCGGCCTCAACCCAATAATAAATTGGTCACTTTAATCCACAACACTGCTGTGCGCAATTGGCTAATTGGCTGCCACGTTTCGCCCACAAACTATACAGTCAATTCACTTGACAGTATATTCCGTGAAGCGCTTTGAGACGTCTCGAAGACATGATAAGGCGCTACATCAAATGCAAGGCTTATTATTATTATTATAAAAGATGTCTGCAGCATTCAGGGGGGAATTGGTGGCAAAAATAAAGGGGGAGTCGAAAGAATTTGATTTATTGTATTTTCTTTTGCCCTTGTCACACACAACCTGTATGATCTCCTGCAGTCCCACCTCACTGTCGACTCCCTCTGCTCTGCAAACTCAGGCCCACCTCACAGCCATCGGTGGGCGAGCTGCCATCCAATTGCCCCGTGTCTGGAGCTCCACAGCTCCCTCTCCTCTTTCAAAAGCCTTGAGTCATATCTCTCCTACCCCTTTCCTATCCCCCCCACCCACTCCAATTCAACCGATTGCTGCTCCATTTGCGTGAAGCACTTTTTGAGACGCTTTTTGACTACGTGTGTGACGGCATATATGTGCAAATTGCCATTTTTAAGTATGTTAAAACTGCCCAGCTGTGGGAATGAATTAAAACGATACTCTTTGTTTCCCCTAGGAAACCTCACCACGAATCTCGGAAGGAACAAGAGGCCAAAAAGCCTCACATCAAGAAACCGCTCAACGCCTTCATGTTATACATGAAGGAAATGAGAGCGAACGTCGTGGCAGAGTGCACTCTTAAAGAGAGCGCTGCTATCAATCAGATCCTGGGGAGAAGGGTGAGTTGAATGGTAGTTTTGATGTGCTCCAATTAACAAGCGAACAAGCCAGGCATCCCTGTGAGTCTTGTTGATTTTGATGTCGCCATTGATGTTGCCTATATCCTGAGCTGGATGTATTCCCAACTATTGTGTAGTGTCGTGTACTGAGCTAAGCTGGACTCGGATGGCTTTCCATAACATCTTGTCTGTTCCTCGAATAACGCCGCAAACGTGAGTAAGTCCAATCCTTGTAGGAATTGACTACTTGCAGTCACCCGAGGTTACGTTGCAGTCCTTCAGGATATACGACAATTGAACCTTGATCATAATAAGTATGCAGTTGTATTTGCGTATACACAGCCTGGATAGCATGGGAGTAGGCCATTTGACCCAATCTGCCCGTGCTGCCGATCCAATGAATGAGTTAGCTTTTAACCGTAAAGAAAAGCAATCTGCTGTTGTAACTAGCCGCCAGTTACAGCACCGATCGGTGTCGCAGTGACTGGACTCTGATCGATGTTGTAGTGATGACCATCTCTTTGTGCTTTGTTGCAGTGGCACGCTTTGACTCGTGAAGAACAAGCAAAATATTATGAATTGGCTCGCAAGGAACGGCAACTTCACATGCAGCTTTACCCAGGCTGGTCCGCTCGGGATAACTATGTAAGTTGCTATATGGTGCTGGGTCTCGTGTAGGTGTCAGCCTTGTTAACTTGGCAGAGCTCTCACTTGACGCGGAAGGTTGTGGATTCAAGCCCCACTTTAGCGTTATAATCTAGGCTGACACTTCAGTGAAATGTGTGTGTGGGGGGTGGTGGGGGTTGTGGGGGGAGCGCTGCTGCGTTGTCAGATGTGCTGTGCTTCAAGTGAGATGTTAAACCGGGTTTTCTTCTACTTCCCAGTAAAATTGGTCATGGCTGTTTCTGCGATGTTGCTGTGTGTAAATTGCCTCTGCTGCATGATTTGCCCTGTAAAACTGTCGCTGAAGACAGAATACTGTAGTTACCACAAAACCATTCTCATGATTTTTTCTTTATTGTGATTTCTCTTTAAAGAAATGTTTCACCACAGTGAATGCAAGATTTCCCCACTGTTTTACCATATACACGTCACAGCCCTATTTTTGGCCCTTCACCTAGGCTTCTTAATAGAAAATAAATCTTTTCAAGTGGATAGAAGCACTGGAGCAGAAAGACTAGAAGGTTGCCGGGTCTAGTCCAGGACTGTGGTGAATTAGCTGATCTCAGTTGAAACAGTAGTTGAAGTGCTGCTGTTCTCCGAGTTCTTGCTTCTTATCACTATCCAATAACTGCTGAAAACTGCACATGTGTAGGTGTCAAATGAGGGAGGACAGGGGTCACACTCAGCTGTGTTTCCCCGCCTTAGCTCCTTCCCCCACCCCGCCCAGAATTAAATAGCCCGCGAAACACACTAAGCTTTAAGGAATTGCAAATATTGTAGCCTCTAATTATACCCGGATGTGCCTTACCCCGATCTGCCAGAATCCTATCTCAGCCAATACAATTCCTCCAGGGGGATACTTAAGCTGCAATACAATTTCACACGAGTCAAAAATAACATCAGCATCTGAGCTCATTTCCGGCAGTCGGGGTGAGGCGCATCCGTATTCCTGCCGGGTTCATTGCCATGTTACAGTGTTTCAGCCCTGGCGTACTGGTAGCACTCTTGCTTCTGAGTCAGAAGGTTGTGGGTTCAAGCTCCACATCGGGGCTTGGAATCACATAGTCTAAGCTGACACTCCAATGCCGTGGAGTGGGTGGTGGGGGATGGTGTTTCATTGTCCTTCGGATCATACTTTAAACCCGAGGTCCCATCTGCCTCTTCAGGTGGACGTTAAAGATCCCATGGTACAATTCGAAAAGAAACAGGAGTTTCTCCTGGTGTCCCGGCCAACAAATCCCCCAAATAAAATTGGTCACTCACTCTATGGCTGTTTCTGGGATATTGCTGTGCACAAATTGGCTGCCACACTCGCCTACAAAATACACAGTTAATCAACTTTACAGTATATCCTGTAAAGCACTTTGAGATGTCTCAATGACGTGAAAAGGTGCTGTATCAAATGCAAGGATTATTATTATTATTATTATCTGCACAGAACCAGAAGAGCAGCTTGAACAAGTGTAGCAGAGCAGTGTCTGATTGCCAGGTAACTTCACCTTTGTGCCTACGCTACCTTACTTTGAAATTGTCCCAGTTCCATTTAGTTTCCAGCACTGAGTTGTTTTCTCTCTTGAAAGCACTGATTCTTGTGTAAAATTTAACCGCTGCCAGTCCCCGCCCCCCACCCAGCACCTCATCCTGTACAATTTCCATTTCGATAGCATCTTCCACATGGTGAGGACGTCTCAAAGTGCCAATTGTCCAATCTTCACAAGCGACCTTGGAGATTGAGTGTCAGCTATTGATACGCAGGGTTGATGTAGCAGAGACAGTCTAAATTTGTCTTCACCCAACATGCCACACAATTCTCTCTGGCAGAAATAACAATAATCCTTCCAATTTGGTATAGGGCCTTATCAACAACAACAAGAATAAATTGCAGTTATATGGCGCCTTTCATGTCGGGAGGACGTCCCTAGGCGCTGGATGGAGCATTACCATGTAGTCGAGACATCTCAAAGCACTGGATAGACATCACTTACAGATATCAATGATGGAGATGACTCTATCATGTATCATGTGATTCTTTGTGATTCTTCTCCTCTTCCCCCACCCATGAAGTACAGTGACTGAGCAACTGTAGATAAACGCAGCAGCCAATTTGCGCACAGACATGAAACAGCCATGAAGTGAATGATGAAGGATCTCTAGATAGTGATCAGGAACAAAAGCTCTTGTTATTTCTTTCACCAAAGCACATGGAACTGCTCTAGAACCATGGAAATTTGCAACACAGACAAAACTAGTACATCTGCACTGGCTCTTTGAAAGAGCAATCTATTCAATCGCCATTATTTGCGCTCCAACCCAACAAATTTCACACCCGCATAAGAAGAGAAGTAGATAATTATTTGGGGAGGACAAGTTTGCAGGGCTAGGGGGAGAGAGCGGGGGAGTGGGATTGAATTGGATAGCTCTTTTCAAAGAACCGGCACAGACACGATTGGCCGAATGGCCTCCTTCTGTGCTGTATAATTCTATGATTGTATGCTAACAGTGTCACCTAAAACATGATATTTGGAAACTGGATGTTTTGGGTTAATTCAGATTTCCAGTTTGTGAATGTTGGTTTGCAAAATTCATGGTTGATATTATAACCACCTTCACTATAAGCGCTGCCACATTTATAAGCTGGGTGGGTAATGTACCCGGATATTCTACGGTGTCAAAGCATGAAACTCCCATTATCTCAGGAGTAGCTCTTCTAGGTTAGAAATGCATATCACGAGAAAAATTACAAACAGTGGAGTGCATTGCTGCCAGTCGACTCTCTATACACATGTGCAAATGAACCCGGTGACATTGACAACGATAATAGAAATTAAGAAGCACTGACTTCTTATAGCACAGGGTGGGAATTGTTTAGATCCCTTCATAGCAGGATTACCCTGCATTTGGAAACCAAAGAAATCAATTAATGCAACAAATCGCATGAATTTTGCATTTTAGATCCCCTTCTCCACTGTATGTTTTCTTGAGAATGCAAAATGCAAACAAAGTAACTGTCTGTATGGGAGTGTTTTTCTACCTTGAATCCACTTGAAGGACTGATCTAGATATATCTTGAATTTGTTTCAAATGTTGAAGGGAAAGAAGAAGAAGAGGAAACGTGAAAAGATGCAGGAAGCCACCCCAGGTAAGAATAAAGTCAACACATTCTTGACATGTAACGGATTTTACATAACGTCCCATGTTAATAAAGAGGGGCCATGCAGAAGTTACTAGGGTACATCATGCACTAATCTTTCTACCTTGTATTTATAATAGGAAATCCTGTTATAATGATACTGTGAAGAAGAGAGTGCTTTATTTTTTTTAACAATCAACGTCTCTTAAATAGTAATGTGTGGTGCTTCTTTCCAAATAAAATAAAAACTTGGTAAGATCCAATGGCCAACAGTGAAATTGTAATGCAAATATATTCTTATGTGTATCTCTCAAGAATGCACCTTCACATTCCTTCTTCAAACACCATTCCAAAATTGGAAGGATCTTTTTTATTTAACATGGGATGTTATGCGCTGCATTGCATTTTCTATTTAATGTGTTTCCACTGGGGTACGTTGATATTGTGTGGTGACATGCTGGATTGAACCTCCTTAACAGCTCAATGAAATCTTGCCCAATTTGCAGAAGAAAATACTACCATCCCAAACCAAGCTTTAGTTATTGCATTCAAATAAGAGGTATATTTAATTTTTGCTTTTGCGTATTCTACACTTTCCGTCTTAGTATTGTTGCAGATTCCAAATCCTTGGTGTCTGTCCAACATTAGAACAGAAATCTCATTTCAGCCCGTATTTTTGTTGAGTTTGTCCAATTTTCTCCTCTCTTGTACTGAAGGTTCTAACTATTGCGGGGATATGATCCCACAGTCTCTGGCTGCCCTCCAATATTTTGTAGAAGTGGGATATTCTTCCCATGTGAGTTTAGACAGTGATGATTTGCAGGCTATTCATCGGCAGAGCACCACAGCTGAGTTTGATCTTGTTCCTGCACAAAATCCTGGTTCATGGGCTTTCCAGCAGAAGTCACTTGAGCAAAGTAGGAGCCAACAATCTACTGTACTTTTTAATTGGTGCTTTGTTTCTCTAGTCTTAAAGTAGCAGAGAATCCAAATGTAACAAAAACCTTAGTTCATTATCTGACGTACATGTTAGGGTAGAATAGTGAATGAAAAGCAGGCTCCTTTAACTTCAAGTCCAATTGGTTTGGTGGAATGGTTTTGGTTCCCTGGTGAAATGATGTGGAAAAGTGAGGCACTTAAGGCTTGAAATTCCAGGTCTTTGCCCAAATGACCATTTTGTCTTACATTTAAAGATTGTGTAGAACTGTAGACAATTCTGAAACTCAGTTTTTAATTTGGAGGCTGGTCGTTTGAAAGAACTGCAGGAAACAGGCTTCCGAATGAAGGCTGAGTTAAAGAATGTCCCGCAATTCTTTAAACTTTAAAGACAAAATGTTCTGATAGGGTTGGAAACCAGGTGAAATTTCTGGCTTTTTTTTTGTGAGATGAAGAGTGTAAGAAGAATCCAACTGCAGCTTCTATCAGATTATAGTGAGAGGGTTATTGATGTTGAATGTGATGAAGTCCGTAGACTATATCCAGCTGTAGGATGATAAACTCAACCCCTGCATAAGATCATTTGAAGGATGGATGAGGAATCTAGAGTGTGAAATGACCAATTTGCTTTGCTGTTCCTTGGAAAATGAGATTGATGACACTTAAATCAAGAAATCTATTAAATATAGCAGGCTCATCAGTTCAATGGATGCTGTGCATGATTTGGCTCAGTGAGCAAATACACAAGGCAGCGTGGTTTAGAATCATACACAGCGAGAAGGTCCCAAGTCAATCAATGCCTGTGTTAAGTTTTCTGAGAGAGGAGAGAGTCCTGCGAAGAGGATAAAAAATGTCTTTTAAGTGTTTTGGAGTAGGATGGGAGTGAGAATCAATCAACTGTGGTTTCTGCTCTTGATGGCTGTTTCGTGATCCCCGTAAAACGTGGGTTTGATTTTGGCTGTGATTGCTCTGCCTCACTTGCTATTTTGACAATTAACAGAAAAAACACTTCAAAGCTAAGGCTGAATTCAATAATTTGGCAAATTCTGGATGCTCTGAAATGCTACATGAAGACAAAATTACACTTGTATAGCGCCTTTCACATCGGAAGGACATCCCAACGCACTTAATTGAGGGTAAATAAGAGTAAATCTGGAATTTCTTCTCACATATTTCTTAAAAAACAGAAAACTTGGCATGCAGGGTATTGGAGTTGTATGTTAAGGAAGCCAAATGAAGTGTTACGTTTTGTTACAAATTAGTTTCTATTGGAATCCTGATGTCTTGGGGTTTAACCTATCATTTATGGTAATGTGTTTTTGGTTTTTCTTTAAAATGGGATTTCCCATTAAAGATCGTGAACTGTAGTGATCAGCATAAAATAATTCTCCTTGCAATTAAGTAAATGTAGTACTGTCTACAGTTGCCTTGTCTTTGCTGCACATTCACATATTCTGATGATCGTCAAAGATGTTGTGGGCAAGTGACATTTGGTACGACCAAAAGGGACATTGTGGTGTAGACATTGTCTGGGTCATGACCTTCAGGAAATTGGTGTAAAGCGATAGAGCTACAAAGAATCATAGCAATTATAGAAGCCCTGCAGACTTATTTAGCAACTCAATTCCATGATGAGTTTTAGCCTTTAAATAGAAGTACTCAGGAGTACATAGTCAAGCAACTATGTCATGGAGGTGGGATTCAGATGAAGTTATCAACCATCCTCAAAGCTTAACTCAAGAACTTTACAACAGCCTCCTTGAACCAAAAGTGAGGTTGCTACCTGGAAATCACTCCTTCTGTCGATTACTTTTCACACGTTTCACACCCTGCTTGATTCCAAACCCCAGCTCAGATACAAGCTCTTAACTGTTCAGTGGCTTGGTATGTCTTTTTGACGTGAAAGACGTTATACTGTAGCTCAGTGGTTAGAGCACTCGCCTCACAAGCGAGAGACCTGGTTCGATTCCTGGCAGGGCGAAACATTGGACCAGTTTCCTTACTCCACACGCCTCTGTTTACCTCACAGTAAGTAGGAATCCGGTTGTTAGTCAATTGGCGGATCGCTTTTCCTAGGGTAATAATTCCTTCAAAAAAAATAAGTCACTCAATCAAATATACAGTCAATTCACTTTACAACGTATTTTTTGAAGCGCTTTGAGACGTCTCGAAGACATGCTAAGGCGCTATATCAAATGCAAGTATTATTATTATTATACAAATATAATTTTGTTGTTTTTGTTGGAGAATTTGTGGCTTTGCTCTGTTTATTTCTGCAAGTTTCAGGTTAAATACAGACGATCGACTACACTCCCGTCTAGCCATCTGATATCGAACGTATTAGCAGATAGCACACAAGCACCGCAGGCTTACTTGAATGGCAGCTTGAGTCAATTACCAGTCACTGTGTACACACATGCATATATAAAAGCTGTTTATTTTGAGCTGTGAACTATTTTCCAGGGATGAGCGCTAAATGCACAAATATGAAGCGATCTTAGTTATGCCGGTTTTGGATGAATTCACTGACTTTCACGCTTGTGTGTTAGCCTGGCTCAGTTGGAAACATTTGTGCCTCTGAGTCAGAAAGTTGTGGATGCAAGTTGTGTCGAGACTTGAACTTACATAACCTAGGCGGACACGCCTAATTCTGTGCTGGGGCTGCACTGCATCATCTCAGGTGTAAGGTGTCTTTGGATGAGATGTTAAACTGCGGTTAATTATTATTATTTGTTATTATTATTCATTTGCCCATTTGTGGTGGAAGTTAAAGATCCCCAGTCATTCACTTTATGGCTGTTTGTGGGAGTTGGCTGCCTGCATTTGCCCACAAACTACAGTTGACGGTAAAATCCTGTGAATCCTCCCGATGTGAACGGTTCTATATTCAAATGCGAGGATTATTATTTTTATTTTGATCATTATTTTTCTGATGACCAAAGCAGTAAGAGTTTTCCTTATCTGAATGCTCGACATTACTGTTTTGCAGGGCCTGCTTTACTTGCCCTCTTTTATTCTTTGGATGTAAATCGAATCCTCTCAGCCTTGAGCATCGAGGTGCAGGTCCATTCATTTACTTGCAAGCCATGTATCCCCGTCACTTTCTTCCACAGTTTTTCACGTTGTAAGATCAACAATTTTGGCTGGGCCGACAATCTTCATTGAAAGGACATTCAGTTCAGAACCTATTCCCATACTTTGGTTAAGCAGCCCTACGCCTTTGCATGCATCATATCTGTTCGCTCATTATTTGCAGTATTTTCATCTTTGTCTTTCTTGGGGTGGGTAAATTCACAAATGACAAGACAATTTCTTTAATCTGCCGTAATCTTGATGAGCACACTGTTCTGGATATTAACTAGACCGGGCTGCGCAAAAGGCAATAGAGAGTGTACGTTTGATAACTAACAGTCACAGAATCTGGTTGCCATAAATCAAAGGATCCCGCTTGTTTGGTGATGCTGTTTAGAGATAAGAGAGTTAGATTAAACAGGGACAAGCAGAGTTTCTTCCACCTCAGGAAGAACAGGGAGCAATCCTGAAAAACAACATCCAGCATAACACAACGTCTGGAGAGTGTTATAAGACAGCAACAGATCAAAGGCTTGAGATGGCAAACTGGGTTTATCAACAGCACTGAAACTGGAACATGGCCCACGGTGTGCTAGAGTTTTGTGATCTGGAAAAAGAGAGTGATTTCTTACTGCTTTCCAACAAAAAACACTGTCGGACGTTCTCACTTGTATAACACACTTCTCGTGCTGTTAAAGCCAGTGAGTGCGGAAGAAGTGAGAGCAATACCTATTGTATCTTCTATATCTCACAATCATTTTAGACTTTTTTCTCGTTTTGCCCAAGGGCATATGGTACCATAAGAGGGATAGAAGGAGAGAGAGAAGAGAGAGAGAAAACACTTTTCCCATGTCAGAGCAGGTCAAGGCTGACATTTGACAGGGGGTAACCGAGGAAGGGGTGAAAAACCTTGACACAAATTGCAGCACATTCCACATCAAATGAAAGATATATATTGAAAAGGGTCTCCTTTCACCAGTTAACATTTTATTGTGCCCTGA